ACCTTATTCCTTGATCTGGTACCCTCCTCTTCTCTATGACTCTCTGTGTTGGAGGTTGGCCACCTTGTGTAATCCTGGGGCTATTGGTCCTGCATTGTGCTTGATGAAGTCAGCATGTGAATGCTGGCCAGAGTACCTTAGAGAAGAGGCTTCAGTCAACCAGAGGCACAGATGGAGGGAGACTGATGGAACAAGGAATAAGGTAACCTATGCTTAACCTCCCTGGCGGTATTCCTGAGTGTAGCTCGGGGTAACATTTCAGTGCCACAAACGGTAACCCCGAGCTACACTCGGGAATACCATGCGGTACTGCTCCGGAATTTGTTCTTCACTTACCTTACCCTGCGCTCCCACGATGTGTCCCCTGCAGCGTCCCCGGCCATCTCCTCCAGCCGATGCCGGCATCCGGCTTCTGTGTCCTGTCCCTGTGACGTCGGGACGTACGGGCGCCGCTGGCAGCGGGAAATTTAAAAATTTAAAAAAATGTCTTTTTTTTTTTTTTTACATAGTAAAACATTGCTGTCTCAACCAATTTCACATACATCTTGTCCCTAATGCTTTGTCCTGCGCCCTGCCTGCATTTTGTCTGTTCTTTCTGCCTGGAAACTGAGAAATGTCCATGGCGTCCAAAAAGTGTCCCCTTTAGGTCAAAAGCGGTTTAGATCAGCTAGAGAACAACGATAGTAAATTAGAACCACTTGCAGAATTGAGTGATAATGATTCGTGGGGAAATTCGTCATCAGACACTGAAAACAATTTTGCGACTTTGCTCAGCAATGTGCTAACTTGGCGCTATATTTCAAATTTCAGTGTTTTTGGTTTGATTATATTATTGAATTAAATGTATTATTATTATATTATTTTTTATGATTATTTATTAAATTATAATTTATGATTACGTGTTTCAAATTTTATCATACCCGGGATGTTTACTAGACTCTTGTTCGGGTAGATTTCAGTGAGTTATTCCTAAAAATTACAGGCCTACAATAAAAAAAACGACATATTTCCATGCAAAAAAATGGTACCGCTTTCAGCACCAAAAATCGGAAAGAATCATACCGCCAAGGAGGTTAACAAGCATTTCATTCTTGCATGGGGGGGGGGGCACACTGCAAGGGTTTTTTTTTTTGTGTAATTCACAAAGTTCAGCTTTGAATGATTACTCAATTTTCATGATGAACGTTAGTAAATAAAGTCAGCCTTGGTTCGCTTTAAATGCCCAAATAAGTGGAAAGGAAGGTTAGGGAAAAAAAACTGTAATTTTACTAACATGAATACTTGACTGAAGTAAACACATCTTTACCTTATTTACTAAGCTCAGTAAACATTCTTTGCAAAGTAATCTATATATTCCTTTAGTTAAATCAACCCCAGTGATTCATTTTACTGCCATAGATAAGTGACAAAGGGGGCGATTCACTGAAGATTACTGCATTGCAATATGAAGGCCACGTGACATATTTTTTACAAAAATTGCATGACATAATAAAAGTGTCAATTAATCAAAGTAAAATATTGAATGTGATGTAAATACTGCACATTTGTTATATAGTGAGATAAATATCACAACAAAACATGAGATTAATCATTGAAGTCAATTCACTAAAAACACATACATTCCTTATTTTGGTGTTTACTGGTGGTAGTTTAGAAATGTAAAAACAATCAGAAGAACTCTGCAGTCCAGGAAGTGAAATGTATACAATGTATCAGTGTGGAAATGTTCTCCTCTGAGCTCAGGAATTGTAATAAATTGTAACATTTTATCAGAGGGAGATTAGTTTGTGACTGGAGGGACACTCGAATGTTTTCATAGTTTCACAGTATTTCTGTGTGCCTTGAGATGCAATGTTAGCTTGCAGAAAAAAAAAAAACAATGTGAAAAAACAACACCAAAAATAACAAAATGTACGTGCTAAATATTGTAAAACATATTCAATATACTTGATAAATAATGTGTTTTTTGTGAATTGACTACTTTTGAGATAAATATGCCATGAGTTATTTTAAAGTATATGTTCACCTTATGTAACATGTTATGAAAGGAGCGACCCCGCACTCACCCCCATCCCCTGTTTTGACAGCTAGCGGGAGATCTTCCCCCCACTAGATGTCACAATATTAAAAAATCATGGCCATGGGGCTCCGCCTGCCCGGCTGTGTCACTCATTCACAGAATTCTGCGAATGGGAAAACTACAAGTTCTGACAGCCTTTGTGGCTTGTAGTTCTCAATGAACTACCACAGTGCTGTTGAGCGCTGTGATAGTTAATTGATTCTTGCTGTCAGTGTGTATCTGCTTGCCCATACAAGGTACGAGCACACAGATGCAATGACAGGTCTGCAGGAGTCCTGCATGGCACCAGCAATCTGATGCTGGTGCAATGCTTTACAGGCTCCCAAAACATAAAATAGTAGATGCACATTTTATTATCTTCAAAAAAAGTGGACTTAATATTTTTTGTCAAAAGGCAAACCTTTAATTCAAAAATTCACACAGTATTTGTCTCTTAGTGAATTGACCCCAAAATGTAATTGCTAAAAACACTTTAGAAAAGTTCTCATTTTGTTATTAAGAATAAGAGATCACATTATAGATTTATTTGCTGTTAGTCTTCAAAGGATTTGGGTGCTCCATTCCATTGATAATAAATAATCCAATTTCAGTATATAATTTTCCCTTTCTTCAAACATCCACAAATATTTATAGCAGCATTATGTAGAAGAGCTTCTTTCATACACCTGACCATTGCATTAAGAAATCTAGTTTCTGTTATGGTTTAGTGGCACCTAAAGAAAATACTCTATGCAGCTTGCTAAAGCAAGTGAACATTTTAAATACAGAGCTGACGACTTCCTGGTTTATTGAGCCTTCAGGGGCACAATAAATTCATTTTGCAATTATAGGAACACGCTGTCACTTGTATTGTGCTGGTGTGAGACGTTCAGTTGGGAAAATGTAGAGCTCTAGCAGTTCCTCCACGCTTGGCTGACCTGGACGTGATGTGTACTGGATTGGAGGTATAACAGGGTGTAGCAATTCCCCTGCTGAACTGCTACTGACGGAGCTGTCCACTGAAGCTGGTGCTGTACTGATGAGCAACAATGAAAGGCCAGCCAGGCAGAATAACTGGATCTCTAACATTATCCTATAGCACCTGAATGGGAAGGACTGCTTGGAAAACTTATACAGAGTGCAATTGTTTTCTCTGTCAGCAAACACATTTTCAGGAAAGACTGGGTCATTGAGTATATATCTTGTATTATACATAATATGTTTAGTACAGTATTCATCTACAGCCAATTAGTTTTTATTGTTTCTGTCATTGATGAGAATGGAAACATGGATGGTTGCTGTAGGATACTACACTCTAGGCTAACTCATTAAATATGCCCCAAACATTGCTGTAATCTCATTAAAAAGATACACACATTTAGTTATAAACTGACCTGTTTTGGAGAATAGCATTTACAGGGCCATTCTGAAGCATGGCAAGCTAATTCAGCCGCTGGTTACTGTATATGACTTGGACATCCCATTTGTGAGATCTCCCTGTCACTGAACTTTTCATGTTCTTTTCCATTGTTGCATATTCCAGGACCTTCTATTGCATTCCCTTTAATTTAACATAAAATTAAAAATCTAGCAAGCTTACTGGGGCCCCTTCATAATGACCACAGCAGGTGTGCAGACCCAGGAAGTCAAATGTATATGTCACCAACACAGTCACTTACTGAAATACGAAATTGTCAAATGGTTTGTGTAGCATCTACCAAATCTTGAAATTTCAGTTTAGGGTGGTCTAACCCTTTAAATCTAATTTCCAGCAATAAAGAAAATTAAACAAACCTATCCCATCCCCTTTAACTGATACTCTACCAAACCACCTACCCACTGCTATTTACCTAAAGCTCAATTTGCTTACCTGAATCAGCATAATGCATCAGGTGTGAGTCTTCTTTGTTTTGAATGGCGGAGTGGGAGGTTCCTCTTTTGGGATGTGGTTGTTTTCTGGGACAGAAATGCATGGACAGCAGGTAAATCAGCGGCAGAAGTTCTGCACATTACACACTGTACAAATGTGTTTTTGCTGTTGCTTCTGTTTCCAATTGGAGAAAAATACCATCAGTTACTATCCTAACAAGAAGTGAGAGGAATCTCCCTAGTCCCCAGTAGGGACACAGACATAAACAAAAACTAGCAGAGGCTGGTATACTTCTGTGCTCTAATACTACAGTAAATATAGCATCTTGATTCAGTTTGAGCACTTTATTTACACCATATTGCCAAAAGTATTGGGATGCCTGCCTTTATACGCAGACTCACTTTAATGGCATCCAAGTCTTAGTCTGTAGGGTTCAATATTGAGTTGGCCACCCTTTGCAGCTATAATAGCTACAACTCTTCTGGGAAGGCTGTCCACAAGGTTTAGGAGTGTGTCTATTGGAATGTTTGACCATTCTTCCAGAAGTGCATTTGTGAGGTCAGACACTGATGTTGGACGAGAAGGCCTGGCTCACATTCTCTGCTCTAATTCATCCCAAAGGTGTTCTGTTGGGTTGAAGTCAGGATTCTGTGCAGGCCAGTCAAGTTCCTCCACCCCAAACTTGCTCATCCATGTCTTTATGGACCTTGCTTTATGCACTGGTGTGCAGTCATATTGGAACAGGAAGGGGCCATCCCCAAACTGTTCCCACAAAGTTGGGAGCATGAAATTGTCCAATATGTCTTAGCATGCTGATGCCTTAAGAGTTCCCTTCACTGAAACTATGGGGCCTAGCCCAACCCCTGATAACCATCCTCACACCACAATTCCCCCTCCACCAAACTTTATACTTGGCAAATGCAGTCAGGCAAGTACCTTTCTCCTGGCAATTGCCAAACACAGACATGTCAACGATTGCCAGACAGAGAAGCATGATTCATCACTCCAGAAAGTCCAGTGGTGGCATGCTTTACACCACTGTATCTGCCATTATGCATTGTACTTGGTGATGTAAGGTTTGTATGCAGCTGCTCGGCCATGGAAACCCATTCCATGAAGGTCTCTATGCACTGTTGTGCTAATCTGAAGGCCACATGAAGTTTGGAGGTTTTTAGCTATTGACTCTGCAGACAGTTGGTGACTTCTGTGCACTGTCATGTTACGTGGCCTACCACTACATGGCTGAGTTGCTGTTGTTCCCAGTTGCTTCCACTTTGTTATAATACCACTAACAGTTGACCATGAAATATTTATTAGCAAGGAAATTTTACAGATGGACTTATTGCACAGGTGGCAACCTATCACTGTGCCACGCCTGAATTCACTGAGCTACTGAGAGCAACTCATTCTTTACAAATGTTTGTAGAAGCAGTCTGCATGTCTAGATGCTTGATTTTATACAGCTGTGGCCATGGAGGTGATTGGAACACCTGAATCCAATGATTTGGAGGGGCATCCGAATACTTTTGGCAATATAGTGTATATATATATTGTACATTCATATCCATCCCTGCTCTAAAGGAGCTTACAATCTAAGGTCCCTAACGCACATTCATACATTAGCACTAATTAACCAACCAACATATCTTTGGAGTTTCGACGGAAACTCATGCAGGCGCAGAGAGAGCATGAAACTTCCAAACACGGGTTTCTGTAGTTGGGATTTGAACCAACAACCCTAGTGCTGCTAGGGAGAAATGCTAGCTACATAGCCACTGCACTGCCTTTAGTGATTCTAAAGGCTTGATTTTTTTCTTTAAAAAATAAACATGTCATACCTGCTCTTGCAATGATTTTTCACAGAACAGCTCCGATTCTCCTCTCCTTGGGTCCCCTGGTGCTTTTGGCCCCTCCATCTCACAGAGTTCCCCCAGAGTCAGCAGTCGGCACTGTGCGTCTATTAGATTCAGCCCCTCCCTCCACTCCCTCCTCACTGGCTGTGATTGACAGCAGCAGGAGTCAATGGTGTCTGCTGCTGTGTCTGAGCCAATAAGGAAGGAGAGAGCCAAGAGAGCTTCTGCTCTCGTGCACATTGCTGGATTGAGATTGGGCTCAGGTAAGGGGCTGGGAGGGAAACTGCACACTGAATGCACTGATTGTCTTTAGAACTACTTTAAGAGCTGATTCACACATATGCAGTGCAGATTTAAGCTCAGGTTTCACAGCTAATTTATACAGTAGCTGTTCACAGGTTCACTTCATGTTTACATCAGGTTCAGGACAGGATTAGCTCAGGATCTTATCCTGTTCACACATATGCGGTTTACGAACAGTTCCCATAGAAGTCAATAGCCTGTAATCTGCACCTATACCTGAACCCACTGCTCAGAAATCAGACAGGACTCTTTTTAAAACTGCACTGAATCTGCACTGGCGATGCACCAGACATATGTGAGCAGGCACCATAGGAAGCAATGATATTTCACATGTCATGCGGATTGGATATGGTTTAAACCACATCCAATCCACATATATGTGAATGGGCACTAAGACAGCTTTGCTTCAGTGGTAATTTTTCTAATCATACTGTAAATTGATTAGGAAATTTTTGTTCATAAACCAGCATGCCTCCTACATGTATTAGTATTTAGGTCTAGCCTAGTCTGGCAAAACTGGCATATATTTGAACATGAGTGGTCGATAGCTCTTTTGGGTTTCAAACATTTGTTAAATAGGATTCAAGTTTTCAACAATTTACCAGTTTTATGAATGGATACTGGTTTGAGTGGCATGTTCCTGTGCTCAACGCCTAGACATTGCAGATAATATAACCCGCAGTGAATTTTATATTACACTGTCACATTGAAACAGACATTGAAAAATGCAGAATCATTTACCTTGTATGGTTAGTGAACTTCATCATTTCTAAATGACAGGTTCTCTTAAAGTAAATCTGCAGCAATAGAATACGTAGGAAAAATATTTTTTGCTACTTACTCATATTGTACTGCAGAAGTCTCAAATACTGGGATGTACTAATAGGCAAATAGCAGACAGCTCCTGGGCTCTGAGCTGGCTAACCTCTGCCCTCATCTCCTGTACCCACAATTGGCTGATCACTATGAGGGAGACATGGGGGGGAGGGCAAGATGTGGTGACCACGGTCCAAGCTGTTGATCAACACTCTCCAGCATCCAGAGCTCTTGGGGTACTTTACATAAAAACTGACCTGCACAGGGGCAGACTGACAATTCATGGGGCCCCCGGGCAATAGGGGATCATGGGGCCCCTGTGTCCTTGCCCAAACTCAAAAAGCCTATGAAAAAGGTACCAGGGGCATCTCATGGGGCCCCCTACTGACCCCGGGGCCCTCGGGCAGTGCCCGAGTTTCCAAATGGTCAGTCTGCCCCTGGACCTGCAGGAACCTGGAGAAGCCTCCTGTACAAAGAGTCAGTTTGCTATGTATCCTATAGCTACTGGTGTCCTTTAAAATGGAAATGAAGTTAAAAAGTGTTAGGAGTTAAAATGTATGTGGTAGAAAGAACTATGCATGTCTCTTCTGCCAATCAACTCCTCTCCCTTTATCTTAGCATTCTTTTTAATTAGCATGTGTGTTTGCATGTGAGTACGCTGCATGTGCAGGGCACTGTATATGTTCGTTCTACTCTTGATATCTGCAAGATGGCAAGTATGGAGCTGATTGCAGAAATAATGAACAAGAATTAAATCATCACTGTCTGCTCAATGGCTGGATATTAAGTACAGAAAAAGCAATATAGAAGATGGGATTGGTGGTGACAGAGCAGTGATGTGGAGCACACACATACAAGCACTGGAGGAAGGCAAACTAAGATGAAATTTGCCATTATGCACATTATGGTAGGTATGTGGTCCCATCAGTCTCAGGTTCTGCTTTAAGTCAGGTACACAAATAAATGTTGACTTGTTTTTTTTCCTCTATGCCAGATTTCCACACTTAAAGTGGACCCATACTCAAAATGTGATGATTCTTATAGAGAATATTTATTAAGGGAGGTTGGGATGGGTTTGGTATGAGAAAGCAAAGCCTTTCTTTTTTGCAAAATGGTTACCTCCATATGGAGACAGTACATAACAAGGTCTGGACAATACGTAAGTCAGTCAGGAGGAAAATCAGCTGCAGGGAACCTGAAGGAATTACAGGTGACTTTGCTCTACCCTGTACTTTGTTTAGGCAAATCCTCCACAGTAAAGGTTCTCTTTAGTTGAAATGGGATATCAGCGTGTGCAAAACTTTTCCACCAACTAAATTTAGGACCGGTATAAAAATGTTATGATGTTGCTGTCCCATTTGGACAAGAGAAAAAAATTGTGTTAAAAGTTACCTAAGTAAATTTCTACAAACCTCAGTAATTCAATATAAACATATGGTTAAATAGCAGAAACATAACAGCAAGCCAAATGCAGTGGTATAGGCAGTTCAAGGTTATAGGCAGTTAAAGTGGATCTTTAAAAATAACAAATCAGCAAAGTCTACTCATTCAGTGAGGGCCCCCTCCCCATCTTAATTCACTGCAAAGAAATCAGAGAACAAAAAATCTTGCTGAAATCCCAGGGAATGCTGAGTAGCCAGGAGAAAGGTAAGTATATTAACTTTTTTTTTTAATCAGGTGTTGATCAGTAGGTTGAGATGGCAGAGGGAACCCACACTGAATAAGCAGGCCTTGTATGGAATGCAAAGTCCAGTATAAAGTTGCATGCATCTCTTGAGCCTAGTGTATGTTCCTTCCCACCTTCCAAGCCTTAGCATTGCTCAGAGAGGCTGCCTATGACATGCACAGGCCAAAAGTCTTACTTATAGTTCTGATGTTAGTAAGGTGTAGGTGTAACCTTGGTTTATCTACATTTTTTCATTGTGTATTCAGGTTTATGGAATGTTTACTTTAAGAGCTTGCATCAGATCTCTGCTTATTAATTCTAGCTGGCATGTAAACCAACATTAAATTCCTATTAAATGTGATTAACTGCGGCAGAGAAAAAGGGTCAGATCCTCAATGCAGATAGCATTTTTATTTCTTTTTTTGCCACAAGAAAAAAACTATGGATGTATATAAATAGTGATTTTTCATTCAAAAGAGCTGAGACTATAATATTACTGTCATTGTGTATGTATCAGTAGCATGTTCTGTGCTGCAACATTCCCATACCACATTTTTTAGCTGTATGTTGTGCTGTGTTTATTGTTAGTGTTGGGTTTACTTTTGACAACTGCTTAAAATAGTTGTACAGGTAAAACAGCAGTATTGAACAGTACCATGGATTCATTAGATGTGTCAATTTTAGGCTAATTGCATACAAGCAGTTTTAAAGCCCCATGTTGCGTGCATGTCCTTTTCTTGCTAAAGGAGAAAAAGACACCAATGAAATGAATTACTGTCTTGAAAAAAACTATATTCAGCATAAGTGAATGAAAAACATAGAACATACTCATTTAGTCTTAGTTACTTGGCATTCTTTTTATACACTCTTACTTATCCTCCCTTGATTTAAAGTGAAACTCTAGCCCAGACATTTTTCTTTTTTTTGCCAAGGTGGAGGAGGCTATTATTACTTTCTGTGCCCTATTTTTGTTTTGGAAATTGCACTGGAATTGAGATGCAATCACCCAATATGGACCTTGGAGAGGTTGTTATCCTTCCCTGCTCTATCTAAAACAAACAACAATGTGAGCTGGAGTTTGGCTTTCACCGTAAAGGACCCTTGTGGGAAAGCATCTTTGGGAGACACAATGCTCCATTTAATGTTTACTGTTAGACCCAGTAACACTTATTTTGTCCTTTAAGTGATATTAAAGGCAATTTGTTTAAAAATAAAAAAAAAAACGTGTTATACTTACCTGCTCTGTGCAGTGGTTTTGCACAGAGTAGCACAGATGAGGAAGGATAGTCCCTGGGCAGCCGAGGCTCTCATGCACATTGCTGGAACAGGATGGGGCTCAGGTAAGAATTGGAAGGGTAAGGGGGGATGGTGCACACAGAAGATTTTTTTACCTTCAAAACCTTGAGCCTTTGCAACCACTTTAAAGCTGAACTTCACCCAAAGAAGAAATTCTGCTTTATGCAACCCTCTCCCACTCCTCTTTCACACTTGGCACATAATACTTTTTTTGGGCAGTGGGTACCTAGTTTTAATAAGTACCCGCTCCCACTTCCGCTCAGATTGCCTGGGAAATCTGAGCGGAAGTTCACCCCCTCTTTGCCCGCAGCTTTCTGGGACATGTCACAGGTCCCAGAAGGCTGTGGGGCCACTCACACAGTGCAGCGTGGCTCATGCATGCACAGTGAGAAGCTGGCTGTGAAGCTGCAAGGAGTCACAGGTAGATTCCCACACCAAAGATGCCGGGGTTGGGAACCAAAAGACCTACAAAGAGTCGGCCCAGGTGAAAACGGCACTGGATCTTTGGACAGGTAAGTGTCATTATTAAAAGTCAGGAGATACAGGATTTGTAACTGCTTACTTTTATTTTTGTCTAAGATGAAAAACCTCTTTAAATATACACCAAAAATCCCCTTTATCCCCAATCCTAGCTTTGGCTTTGTCAGCATCCATTTTTACAGGTTTTTGCGACTGGGTACTTTGTGTAAAACATACTGTACATATGTTGTAGTTATCTATAATTAAAATATACTTATTGTAATATTAGCATCTTTCCTGTGCTATAGACCAGATAGTGTACACGAGCAGACATCTTATTAAATTGGGATGGTGAGTATTTCAGAAATCATGCTAATTCATTAGCTCTGTATTTAGAAATTATGATGTAAGAATGTACTTTTATAATTTGTCAGTTTCCAGAAGATCAAAGCGTTTTTGTCCTGAGAAAATGGAAAATTCACTCTGTTAGACCAGAATTAAGAAATTGATCTACAGTTAAACTAAAAATTCCTACAGCTGAAGATGTGAACAAGTCAAAATGCGCAAAATCATGCTGGATATTTATGCTGGTTATTATTTAGTTAGAACCATCCAAAGTAGTTGAAAGTGTGTCTTTTTCAGGAGAGAATGTATTTGGTTGAAATTTTCTCAGGTCAAGCACACAATTGTCTCCTCCAAAACCCTTTTTTTTTTTTTATAAATGTTTATTGTACGCACAGACTCCAATGAAAAAAAAAAGGCATCCAAGAGATGCTGTGAGTTTGATATGAGTTTTTACAAAGTGGTGAGAGGGCAAAATAATTTGAAGAGCCCACTTACCAAAAGATAAAGAGTCTAAATGAATTTATTGGCATTGTTCTAAAAGACAGCCAACATGTTTTGCGGGTCAAAGGAACTCCCCTTTCATCAGGATCATGGGGCCCCTGTGTCCTCACCCACACTCGAACCACACCCCAGAGCTCTTGGGGTACTTTACATAAAAATTGACCTGCACAGGGGCGGACTGAAAACTCATGGGGCCCCCGGGCAATAGGGGATCATGGGGCCCCTGTGTTCTTGCCCAAACTCAAAAAAGCCTATGAAAGGTACCAGGGGCATCTCATGGGGCCCCTTACTGACCCCGGGCCCTTGGGCAGTGCCCGAGTTTCCGAATGGTCAGTCCGCCCCTGTATGGAATGATAGCTTAAAGTAATAATAAAGCTTCCCTTTTAAATTAAAATAATAAACATATTATACATACCTGCTCTGTGCAATGGTTTTGCGATTGAAGCTGGTGTCTGTTGGACACCTTGTTTGTGAGTTTCCTTATACCTTTTTTATTAAAGAGATAAATGAAAAAAAAACGTATTGCACCATTATGTTCTCTTTTTTGTCCCTGAGTGTACTGTATGCTCTCATGGAGGTATGAGAGAGTGGAGAAGTTCATCATAAGAGCTTGGGCTGCAAAGTTGTTTGTCTGTGATTATTATTATCAGGAAGTGTCTGGAACATCACCATATCTATTTGGATATCGGGTTCATTGCTCCCAGAGCACAAGCGCTGTTGCTGGTTTATAATCTGACCAGCCATTAGCTCTGGTGAGTTCATTTAATCTCCTTTGGTGGTGGATTTTTCACAATTGGTTCAAGTCACTGAAGATATATATATATATATATATTTGTTTTGTTTTTTTGGATGATAATTTACACCTTTGTATAAGTTTGTTATTAGCGCATACCTTTTAATTAGGATTATTGTTGCCAAAATTTATTTTGGGTGGGATATGCTGCTGACACTTTGGTGTTTTTTGTAAGTGGCGCTTTTTTTCTTTTTTAATTTGATACAGTGCTGAAATTACATTGTGCTCAAGTAAATATAAGGGGGATGAGGAGGCAGTCTATGACCCAGGTTTTTTACCTTAATGCATAGAATGCATTAAGGTAAAAAAACCTTGAGGCTTTAGAACCACAAAAAATTATTGGTATCTCTAATATTCTCTTAAATAGTTATTCAACTAAGTCAGGTCCTCCTTGTATAGGAGTACACAACAAAAAGAAAAGTCGTATAATAAGACATTTTTTTCAACAACATAAGGAATATGAAAAATAGCAGA